ATAGGTTTTCCACCACGCTGATTCACGTGGCATGATTTTCAACTCAATAGGAATATCTTTTGATCGACAAAAAGTTAAATAAATAAAAGTCAAATAAAAGCTAAATAAATGTCTGATATGTGACAGGATATGTATCAATGAACAAACACTAATATTTTATCACACGGGTAACTTATTGTCGGTCAAAAAATATTCCTGTTGCGTTGAAAATGATGCCACGTGAATCAGCGTGGTGGAAAACCTATATGTAGGATATTTTCACTCGGGTAGCATGCTTTGGGTAGGTCCTTAGAAACCCGCGCCTTGTCCGGGAGGACAAGGAGAAACTAAGGAAAAGGTTTATGGCTTTGTAGGGCAAGGGTCAGTTGTTCGAAACCCAACCAGAACGAAAAAAAATTCTTTTTTTGAGGTACCTTACCAACCATGTCTTTGGAAGAGTCGCAAGACTTACCACCTGCAGGCGGTCCGCGGACTTCGGTTTTCACATGGATATGTAGCAAAAATTGTCTACTTTCATAATCTGAAAACTGCAGGTTGCTATCTCTTTTCTTTAAAAAGTTATGGAGAAAATAGTGAGCCGCCTTTTATTTTTTCGACGATAGTAGTTACTTTTTATAAGTTCACATCGAATGATTTTAGAGACGGAAATGGAGAAAACATCTCAGACCAATGACGATGATTGAACAAATGCTCTTTCAATAAAGAAGACGAATACGACCGAAATATCAGACAGTTTGGAATATACGTCTGACATAAATGTATAAAGGAAGAAATTAATGATTTTTATATATACATATACTTCACCGACTGTTTCCATTCTATATAAAACACATCACATATCAATCTGTTCGTTGCTTCTTACAAACAGCGCTAAACGACACAAGAGTTTAATTTTTGTGAAAGTAAGTTCATGCATTCTTAAAGTTTTTTTTTCGGTGAAGAGAAACTAATGAAGTGCCGTAGAACAATTTTCTTTTTCGAAATTTCAAATGTGGAAAAATGTTCGAGAACTTTTATCATTTGCAGAAAAATTTTCAAAGTCCCGAGTAGATTCTGTGACTCTACATCTCACAAACTATCTAGCAAAACACACTTTATCACGTTGGATGACTATCGCCTAGCATAGTATAACACAAGATTCCAAACTACAACTAATCGTGATTATGATACAGGGGTCCAACTGTCAGCGGAGTTTTGACTGCTACTGTAGTGTTATGTTTTTCTCTTATGAGAACTTCCTGTTGTCTGTTATATATAGATAATATTTGACTATGTCAAACAGTTTTCATCCCGAAGATTATGAGAATGAATTAGCTCGTATACAAGAGCAGCTGACACAAGAACAAATTCACGACCTAGAGCGAAGTATGTTTCGAGCAACCATGAGTCGAATGACTAATCATTATAATTCTTTCAATTTTTTTTAAACTTTTAGGTTTTCGACAGAACCGTCGTTCAAGTATGCATGAACTAACTCTTCTCAGTATCAAGTTGAGTTTGAGTTGGGATATGGTTCATGTAAGTTTAATTTTAGAGTTACTAAACGTTTATTATTTGGCACGCGTAAGGCTGGTATTGACTAGGTGTATATGTGGTAGATTAGCGGTGAACAAAAAACATGCTGCTGCTCTGTACAAATGTAGTACCTAACACCTTTTAGCTGAAGTTCTTTTAAACACTGCTGGGGTTAACTCACTGGCAAAACAATACAAGTTAAAAAGATGATTGAAAAAAGTATTTGAAATCAGCATTTTTGATACGTTTTGCAGGAAATCTAACGGTCTTTAAGGATCTGCACTATACTAGTTTGCAA